AAAGGTCATACAGTTACATGCCTAGCTTACAGTTCACTTTCAGCTAGAGGAAAGACTTTGAGAGTAACAACTTCTCGACGTGTTTGGCGAACTTATTTGAGTGACGATTGGAGCAGGGGCTTCTGAGTGTCACCCTGACAAAATTAGGAGCCACTAAAACACTGTACAGTCAGCAACATCCAAAACCAGCTCCTACACAGCAGGTTAATAATAAACAGTGGATGTCCCAGTCCTGAACAGGGCTTTTTCTAATGTAACCCCACAAAATAATTAGTAGTTAACTGACAACATGCTGCTTGGATTTGAAAGTAATTCTACATCAGCATGACTAATGAAGAGTCACTTTCAAAACCAAAGTTCAAGCAAAGCCTACACCCTTGATGACAGCTGTAGCTAGTAAGCTAGTTAGGTAGACATACTAATATCTGCATTGTATGTTTGAGCAGAGAAACACACTGTTTAATTCCCTTCTCGCAGTTTTGCTGTGTGTTTTGTTTCCACAGGCTAACAAAAAGACACTACCCCCATGAACGCCACTACAACATACAGAGGAATACAAAGCTTGACAGACTTTCCATGCAACCCAGTCAGCAGAGAAAAATGTTAACATTTGGTTAGGTTTAGGCTGAAAAACCACTTGGTTATGGTTAGTAAAGGATCAGGAAATGCAGCGATGTCTCAGTAAAAACCAACCACATTTTGTTGCACTATTGCTGGTGGGAAAACAGCAACAGGTTGCTAAAAACACCCACATCTGATGCCTGAAAAGCCACTTGTAAAACAGTAATGCATCACTTAAACACAACCAGTTTTATTGTTGACATATGAAATGAAATGTATTTGTGGTTTGCAGAAATGTACAATGCCAACATTTGATTCTGGCGAATGGGCTGTTCCATGCCTAGGTATGGTTGCGATGCTGTGATTGGACAATCCCTTTTAAGGGTAAGGGTTTAGCAAATCGTCAGTTGAAGAGGTGTAAATTTCCATTTTATCATAAAAGTATCACCATATGATTTAAGCTGTTCTCATTCACTGTTCATACTTACACCTACAAAAAAAAATAAAAATAATGCACTATAATAACCCATGTAATCCTGAGCCAGGGGGCCTGTGATTACGTGACCTATGTGCTGCAGGCTGTCCTCCTTCATAGGACAGGAGCAAAGGAAGTGAAGGGAGGTGTCTGGGTCAAACAAACACAGGACTTCAATCCAGAGCCCTCATTTATCAAATTAACATACAAACTAGTGCAGATCCAAGCACAGAAATCATCAGTCATCATCATCATTTACATGTCCTGTCCCAATATATTCTCTGTTGAAAGGCATCAGTCCCTATAGAGTTTACGATATGGAGAGACATAATACCACCCAGAAGAGAAATTTCTCTAAACAAAAAATAGAAACACCGATGCCCCAGGTCCAATTTCACCAAATTTATTCAGCAGCCTGAAAAGAGGCATTAAAGAAAGTTGGAAAAACATATGCAAAGAAATCACTGCTGCAGTCAACAGCGTTGCAGTGGACAATCACACTCAAACTGACGTTGAAATATTTAATTTATACATCCATGATATGTTCCAACCTACAGCCTGTGTATGCTAATAATGGTAGCCCTTATATTATACAATATTGATATAATTATAATATTTATATAATAGCTTCTAACTGACCCAGACCGAGGAGCGCATGGCCACGTGCATTGGGTCTGCTTCCATTTCTGGTATAACAGGTGGTGGAGGAGACACAGACGCACCACAAATGATAAATCCAAACAAACATTGCCCTGTCAGTGTTAAAAAAAAAAGTTCAGCCTTCGGTCAGCCTGGAGCGAGTCCCACAGGGCCAGGCAACTGCCAGCTGTGATATAGAGTGGCCTTTACAAAATATAATATTTTCTCGTAGGCTATACATGTTTAAGTGATCAATATGTGGCTGCAAATACTCAGACCATATTCTGACTGGCATCTAATACCAATTCTCCACCTCAGCCAGGTTTACTAAGCTGCACCTCAAGTCCTCGCTGACTCAAGCATGCCTGCATGAGTTGAGACCTGACGTGAGATTTGATCATAGCTTCCGCTCACGTCCACATTGATATATGCTGAGGTTTGTGTGGAAATGACTATATGCCCAGTTTTCTGTGGTATGTTCTTTTCATAAATGAGGGCCAAGGAGACTGCTGTTTGTGTCCCATGTGAAACCAAAACTAAGCGTTGAGTGTGTGCTGTATGAGGATACATTAATGAAAAGCTCTGGACCAGCTGCTAACTGGACCTTAAGGTGAGATTGTTTTGTCAACTGCTGTTTCTAAGGCACAAAATGTACTTTACAATTCAATGCTGAGAGCTGCCTTCAATAACCATCCTCTTATTTCTCATAATCATCTTTTCCTGTCTTGCTACATCATTTTCTAACTCGAGCACTCATCTGTCTTTCACCTATGCCAGGGTGACATCTGGCCAGTTCAGTCTCAGGTGTCCTAAGAAGCAGGTATGACTCATCCAAGACAAGCGGATGAAGAGGGAGATAAAGGGATGATGAAGGGGGGATGAAAGAGTGCAGCAGTGCACTTGGCCTGCCAGTCACTTGTCTAATTGCAGTGTCTATCAGAGGAAGCGCGTGCTGTCTGTCTCCTCACTTGGATGACTTCATGTTATTTACCTCCTTTTCCATCACTCCGTCTCCTTTAGCTGAACCTTAGTTTTCACTATTTTGTCACTCCTTTTCTGTTGTCTTTTTCTCCTTTCTGACTTTGTGTGACACATTCCTTAGGCCAGAAAAATGAAATGTATAATATACATTATATAAAGATCATCCATAATAACGCTGGAAACTGGCCACAGGAACGATTTGGAAATATGAAAATACCCAGGCCTTTACTGGAATAGAGTAACGCAGTCTACTTACTGAAAGACTTTAAATTATTTAGAGGAATAGTTTTGACATTAAAGCTTGAAAAACTTTGATCATGAGTTTTAATGTTACATAAAACATGAAGGACTTTGTAGTTTAATTGTTGTTTTATTCAGTATGGTGGTTTGGAAATAAACTTACCCACAAGGATTAGATTGCAGTATCACAGAGAACGGTAGTTTAGGTATTAGTGATGCTGTAGGGTGAGAAAAGGTGAGCTACTACATTATGCAATCAAATGTTGTAGCAAAAATTAACCTTTAACAAAGCATCCATATTGGTGGTCCACAGTCCTTTTCAGGGACAGCTAAGAAAAGCTCCCTGCATTATTACATAGGAGCACTCCAGTAAAGTCAATTTACTTGGGGAGTAGCTACAACTTGGCCTGTATAAACAGATGGAAATGTGTCTTCTGTGATTCTGGAGGAGCTTTATCAACTCTGAGAAAGTGACCCGAGTGACATCACTTGAGTATTCAGCACAATGTGGGGCTGTGGAGTTTGAAAATGAAGAGTGTTTACCAGATAAGAAGGGACTAACAAAATAGTTGCATTATGGGAATTATTGGAATTTTTACAACAAGTCTTTTTGTTGCTTGACTAATGTCAGAATATCTCTGTCTCCGCTGCATCAGCTTGGACCATGCTTCAAGGTTCAAGCCCCACTCCACTCCAGTGTATTTTTGTATTTTTATTTTATATTTGTCTGAGTTTACCTGACAATATTGATTAGCCCTGCTGTTTGCCAAATATTGTTTTACATATAACTTCATTTTATGCTCAAAGTTAGAAAAAACAAAAGAAGGTTGGTACTAAAAGCAGAAGCTGCAGGTCATCCTCCAAGCTTGCACAGGTGCACTGTCATGCCTCTTTTCGTCTGAGCTGCAAACTGATAAACATGGTTGTGAGCTTTATGAACTTATCTTGTATAATGACTACATTGATGACTTAACAGATGCAGACCATTCATGGAGCGGATGTGATGCAGAATGTGTATTGTTACTGTCTGCACCTGCCGCACACATACAGCATAGGTCTGTGTGAGTCACAGGAAAAACAACACAATGACCTTTGGTTTTGGGATGTTTTCTTCAGTTTTTGGAACCAGCACAGCACCGTGAAACTTCAGCTGTTACACAGTGTGTTTGTTATGGGTGAGCTAACATCTACACACTACAATAGGCCATGTAAGAGATAAAGTTGCTAAGGAAATGACTGGCAAAATAAATGCAGACAGGGTGATCAAGACCCCAAAGTGGAAGCCCTGTTTGGTACAAAGTAGCTAATATACAGCATGGCTATCTTACTTATCTTATGGATATAAACTGATAGGAATATTCATTTAAAATTAGGCTATTTCATTAACTTGTCTGCATCACAGAAACTAGCAACAAAACTAGTTGTCCATATCAACTCAGTTAAATAGTTAAACTACGCAGTTGTTACTCAGAAGTAAGTGAATTCCAGCTAATTTTAGATTTATATTCATTCATAATTCCTTCAGGTGACGGAGGTGGAGAAAATTCCTCTACCTCATAACTCATGTTAGAGTGACCGCTATTGCCATCCATGCTACTGCTTTGACTCATATACTACAATGATCTGGTTGCCATGGTAATGGATTACATCTGACTATTAACCGCACCCCTATTCCCTCATTGATGAAGGGGGGAAACAGGAGGTAACATTGGCTGGAGTGGGGTTTTAAGGACTTGTCGCTCCAACAACAGCACCAGATAAATTTTGGGCCAGCCTTGAAGAGCTGAAAATGTCACCTCAGCTTGTCGATAAGCAGATTGTGATAAAGCGACACATAGAAATACTGTGCTGTTTTTGAACAGACAGATGTTGCATCATCACTTACCCATATGACACAAGGTCACTCAATGCTGTGAACATTGATATACCTCTTCAATCACACTGTGAGAATGGAAAACAACAGTTTATACTATGACAACACAACAACAAAGAAAAATCTCTCATGGCTTTTTCTGAATATCTTTTTTATTTTGTCTCATACCTGTAAAAATATATTCTCAAAATAAATAAATATATGAAATAAATATACTGTATGTCCTAGGAAACAAAAATTCATAAATAAGAATAAAATCTGCCAACAGGTTTGTAAGGGTGTCTTTGTCGGTCCCGTGCTCGTTGTTTGACTGCAGTCAGTGTGAGAACAACCGAATTCCTTCACTGGGGTCTAGATGAGTCTCTAGAGTTCCAACAGAACACGCAGTAATCCACCACGGGACACCACAGAAGAAGTCCTTATAAAACTCCACTGGACCCATCCTTCTTCTTTTGTTCCTCATGCACTTTGTAGAAAAGTCATATTTTCTGAGCAGCATCTCTCTTTGGAGCAGTTTCAAAGGGAATCCGTCCGCACCATCTCAACAGTCAGTCCGATGGAGATGATTCCCCCAGCTCTCAGACCCGTTTCCCACAACAGACATGGCTGGTTTCCAGTGCATGAAACTATCTTTTTTTGTAAACCAGCCACACGGTATAGTGGATTAAACATTTCAATAAATCATTTACTTAGCAGCCACAGTAGTGATTTGAATAAAAATAACTGAAAACAGTGGAATTGACAAGACTCAGCAGCCACAGCAGAAAGACGCTAGCAGCTAGTTGTTAATCTCACCTCCTAGTTCCCATACTTTTGACCTCCTGAACATGCAGTTTGGACAAGCAGGTAGCTGGATTTAAGAAGTGGAAACTCAAATCCATGACTTGTCTGTTTGGCCACCAGGGCCTCTGCATAGGCCCATAAAGGGGCAATATTAGGGGCCCAAGTGTTTGTGTCTGTGTAAGGGGCCTTTACATCTTCCACAGAAGATCCCTGGTGCTGTTCAGTCAAGCTCCCCGGCTAGTGTGGTTCAGAAAGGATCTCTGTCCTTCCTCCATGCCATCAGTGGGGAGTGTTGATTTGGTGCACTGTTTATGATCCTGTTTTGTCCAGATCAACAAGATCTTCCATCTCCCTCAAGAGTGGGTTAGGATTAGGTGCACTTGCTTTGCAGCTCTGATGGGGTCAAGGTAACGCCCCTTCAGTCTCAGCTCTGGCCCAGTATGTCTCTGTACAGCTCTGGTACTCTGTCCGGGTCTACAGGCCTCGGTAAGAAGTGCGTGAACCTCTGATGTCGCCTCGACCTCGTTCCATCCCGGGACGTCCCATCTTTGTTCAGCGCAACAAAGTAAAATGCCCCTCTTTCTCCATGTCGATAGATGTTGGATGAGTAGGTGTTGTACCAGTTTTCTTCAAATTGCTCCCTAAAAACGGACTCTGCAGACAGCTTCTCCTGCAGACAGACAGATAAGCAGAGGAAAGATGAGTTGAGTGATGCAGAATGTGCCACCTGCTGCCCGCAGATCAGATATGTTGAGAATTGGTATACAGATGTGTGCGTTCAGTGTGTACTCAATAGTATGTGCACTCACAGATCCGTACAGTTCTCCCTTGCTGTTCATGGCGAGGTAGAGTCCACTGTCCACCCCTCTGATGCTGACAAGTCCCACAGCTAGACTGATGAACTCCAAAATACCTGCACACACACACACATTACATTAGACTCACTGGTCAGACAATTTTGTTCAGCGTGCTTTCTCATAACCACATCTGAACACACCCATAAATGTGAATTTAATTATCTTGGATACAATATAACATTAGTCCTGCTCAAGTTTGTTCCACTGCTGCTTGTAGAGTATCCTACAATATCATGTGTTTGTCAGATCATTTAGATATATAAGCCAAAGGGAACATCTGAAGATGGACACCCTGTGTAAAATTGACCTGCCCTCCAAAAAAAAGTACAGTAAATAACCGCACCAGCTGACTCTGACAAGCAAGGCTGGGTGTCTGGAATGGCCTCTGGCATGAAGTTACATCCAAGTCTCAAATGGAATAAATCAAGTGCCAGAAGTGCTACAGCCTGCAGCACTAACAGAAATCTCTCAGAGGTCTACTTTTGATCTGCAGTAAGCTGCAGCTGTTTATCTTGATAACTGAAGATAAGCTGGTAAAAGTAAAGAAAAGCTTCCAATCTAATCTGGAAGAGGAAATGTGGTAAAAATGTACAAACATGAAATACTCAAAGCAATGTCCCATCTGGGAAGCATAATCATCTTGAAATAAATTATGTTTCTCTGGATGCATTATAGCATTTATAGCACCAGTGAGGTGTTTCAGGTAGATTGAAGTAACCTGCATGGCTGCATGTGATAATATTAGTTTTCATTTAACAATCATTAAACGTTACACTAAACTCTGTGTGTGTGTGTGTGTGTGTGTGTGTGTGTGTGTTACTCCACCATAGGGGTAGGCTACCTGTCAGTCTGTATCTCACAATAGAGCCTATAGCAGAAATTCCACAATAGACCACCACAGTACTACTAGGCTACTACAGGAAGCTACTGCTGATGATACTACTAATAATAACAATAATGATAATAATAATAATGAATATAGGTTTATTTGTGGAGGGGTGTGTACCGAATCTGCTGTGGTCCTTCCTGGTGCCCTGCACGGTGCCGTCGGGACGGATCTCCAGGTGGAAGCCGGTCCTGCAGTAGAGCTGCCGCCGCCTCAGAATCCCCTTCAGATGGCTGAGGTCCGCCAGGCTCCGGGACAGCCTCTCCGCGGACACTAGGTGCTCCTGCTGCTGTCCCTGTCCCCCCATCATTAGTCCGGTCACCGAGTTGTAGTCCACCGCCCCGGCTGGGGTGAGAACGAAATGAGAGCCGACGGGAGCCGAAGCGGCACCCGCGGGGCCAAAGCTGTCCAGAAATCCGTTGACGAAGCTCCCAACCTCCGCCGCTGCCCCCATCACAGATAAGACAGCCGATGCGGCTTTTACAGCACAGGAGATCCAAGTCCAAGTGATGAGCACAGAGCCTCGGTACGAACCAGCGAGCGAGGGGTCAGCCCGTGAAGCGGAGGAAAAGAAAAGTTGGATGTGCGGGCGGAGAAAATCTCCAATGTGTGTGCGCGTTTTGGCGCAGTCACCAGCACCGTTAATTAGACTGTCATCTAATTGAGATTAAACTCCCGTGTTATCTTGATGTATGCAGGTATCCCTGCTTGCAGCAGCCCCGTGTCCCTTCTACTCCTCTCTACTGCTATTTATCCCTCTCCCCAGTCCTCTGCCCGCTCCCTCTCTCTCCTCCTCACCTCGGGATACTCCCCTTTGCTCCGGTGCACTTCAGGGTTTCTCTCTCTCTCTCTCTCTCTCTCTCTCTCTCTCTCTCCAGTGCACTTCAGCCTTTTATTTCTGCGGTACCCTGCGCTCAGCTCCTCCAGCGGCAGCATGTAGCGCAGTGTGACAACAGTGCGCTGCGCTCAACATCTATATAACGCAATACTCCCTACGGTAATTCACCCCAATTTGCCTTTTAATGCAAATGCAGCCCAATCTCCTCCCTTTATGGCTCATATCTGCTCCCGTTTGAAAAGGAGGCCCTTCATCCCTCTGCTCATCGCTCTCCTGTCTCACCTTTGATGTTCAGTTTCAGTGCGGAGAGCGCAGGGACTTGGAGAGGAAATTAAAACTACTAATAAAAATGAGCACGATAGGTTTTTTCCCTCCTCGTTTCCCCTTATAGCAGCACAGCAACTTCACTGAAGCTCATATAGACGCAATGCTCATGAGCACTTCAGCACAGGCACACCACATTTAATACTGTCAGTGTGTGTTAGAGCTGTGCGCATCTCAGCAGCAACTTGTGCGTGAAAAGGAGAGAAAGAGAGTGTGTGTGTATAAGTCAAATATCATGAAAGTGATGTTGCCATTACCCTAAACGCTTTACAACCCCACGCCCCCCGCTTCGAAATGACTCAGGTGCGACAGGAGAGAGAGAGAGAAAGAGAGAGAGAGAGAGAGAGAGAGAGAGAGAGAGAGAGAGAGAGAAAAGCCCCCATTTGCGTAATTTTCGCACTCGGCTGTTGATTTATTGCCCCCGTTTTATGTAACCCAGCCGCACATTTACAGCGCCCGCACAGACACACACACACACACACACACACACACACACACACACACACACACACAATCGCACACACGCACCCACACACACCTGTGCAAACGACATCACTTGACTGTCAATCCCCTCATTGATCTTTCCACTGTGCTTTGAACAGCGCAGGAGCCCATATATCCTTAATTGTGGTCTTAAAAGACGAATCAAAGACACAGACGCTTCAAAGTGCTGGGATCTTGTAAGGGGATCAGGCAATAACAACCAGAAGAGGGGAATATACCTGTTTGAACTGCAAGCTTATAATACCCCGACACTTGACACTTGAAGGGCTTCAGAAGCTGTTAATGCTTTATGTAAATGAAGGGAGTTTGTTACATCTTTTTATTGATCATAACTTTGAACATATTCCATGACAGATTGCCTCATTTGTGAATCATTAGGTATTTTGTATTAGACGAATGTAAAATATGAAGATAACAAACTGATTTTGACTTGCAGCATCACCAAAATATTAAAGTTGCACAATTTTCTTATTCATCGGATGTCATTTGTTCAGATCTGCGTTGGGGTCAATGCGCAGTTTCCATGGTTGATTTAAGCTGTGGTTTCATCTAAACAGTGGCACAGGGGCCCATGTTCCAGCCTATAGTATATGGCATTGATTTTGGCAGCTATACAGACAGACACGCGCTCGCGCACACCAACGCACGCGCGCACACAGCTGCCCCCTCCCTTGGGAGTTGCATTGATGAATGAGTTGAAGGTGCAGAGGTGTTTGTGTGCGCGTGTGGTCGCTCCACGCAGGTCATTTTGTACTCGTGTCGATTTCTCCAGCCTGACAGGAGGACAGAGGCGTTGTGGGACAACGGTAGGCCCATGTGTGATTTTATTTTATTTTATTTTATTGCTGTTATGCTTGTCTATATGTTATGTCGTGGATGTTAGTTGTGCGCATGTGTGTGTACATACAGACTGCAGTGGACATGTGTGTGTGGTGTGCGTCCTCCTCCTTCCTTCCCTCGCTTCATTAGTATTTATGACCAGCAAAAAAAAGGGAACTTTTTTTTAAAGGGGACAGAATCGATCAGAAACCCCTCCAGGCTGATCAGAACCTGATGCATTGGATATCGACCTGGCCACAATGAAGACGTCAACGCCACATTTCCACGCACGCTTTCGAGGTGCAAGTTAACAGTTCCCAGGGTCACATGGTTTGCTTTAAAATATATTCTCTGTTGGTTTACTGCCCTGTTTGTGACATGGGACAGGGAGTGAAGCCAACCATGTAGCCACTATAGCATTCATGGAGGAGGAGGAGGAGGAGGAGGAGGGAGGCCCCCAGGGTTATACCCCCACCCCTCACCCAACCACCCACCCACACACACACACACACACACACACACACATACATACACACACAAAGAAATTACAACCTAATCGAATGCCTGGATAATGGAATAACTGAATACGTAGCCTAGAGGTTATTAATGCAAGTGGTTTCCAAACTGGGGTCGAGGGAACTCCAGGGGTCCTTGAAAGCAGGATTCAGAGGGCCCCTATCAAAATGTAGACTTGTTTAATTCAATCATAATTTAATTTTTATGTCACTTGGAAAAATGCATAAGAATCTGATATTGTACTCTCTCCACTTTTATGTCCCTGGACAGGTCTGGGGTTCAAAAATCAACCACAACAAAAACCCATATTGGGTTTCTGCTTGGAGCCTTGGTCATGTGTTAATACTTGATTTTGTGCAGCAGTCAATACTGAATACAATCATTGTCAAAGGTGTGAAATTAGATGTCAAAATTTATTGCATTTAACTTCTGAGGATTTTTTTTAAACAGGTCAGTCGTAATTTTGCTTAAACATTCCCATCTCTATCAGTTAACCAATTAGGGAGCCTATTGTTATGATTAGTCACCGTAATAGCCTAATCTTGTTTGGACTTTGACCAAATTAGAAATCAAAGGGATAAATTAAAGGCTTAATAGATTCAACCCTTTAAAGGGTTTATTTGTACCAAGAGGTTTTGATAGTCATTGTTTGATCTGTTTTCAACTTCTGGCTAAATAGATCTCACAGGTTAGAGTGATCCACCGTGCTTCATGTGTGAACAGGTGACAGGACCATCTATTAGACTGCTCTCTTTTATTCTCTCCACATCAAAGTCATAAGAAAAGCCCCATCAGGTTAACATTCGTCTCACATGTAAAGACTTAAATGAAGAGTTCATCTTTGATATTTGTTTGATATCTGCTCTCCATTGGCTCCTTGATCCTGAACTTCCCGCTGGAAATCTGACACCACACTGACCCTCAATAAAAAGTGAAGACTGACAAATGGTGATATCAATGGTCACTTATAATTTCCCAATGTAAACCGAGATGTCTTTCAAGTCTACTCAAAGATGACGACTCACATGTTGTGAGATATTTGAGCTAACAGTCTTTTTATAAATGCTGTCATTGGTTTTGAAATTTGATTTTTTTTTCTAGATTTTTCATGTGTGTCACAGCATGCAGAGAGTTTGCCAGTTTCTCGTGGGAACAGTGATGCAAAGTATGTAAGAACGGTTTTGAGGTGGCTCTTTAGGCTTGAGAATTTCCATTTTATGATACTGTATACTTCTACTTTGAGAAAGAAATGCTGTACGCCTACTTCACTGGATTTATCTGACCGCAATAGACCTATTGGTTAGCTACATATCTTGCTGATATTTTGCTATTTTGTTCATTTTCAAAATTCATATCTTATTACAATGGTCTAAGACAGTCCAAAAATATAAATGAAAATGAGCAACTCTCTCTCAAATCAAAGAACCATAGTGGCAAAACTTAAATTTGTGATGTCATAGGGTATAAAGTCTGGAGCTGCATTCAGTGGTTCCCAACTAGTCCAGCCAGGGCATCCAGATTTCTCCTTAGTCATTAGTTTGAGGTCCCACGGTTAAATACATTCAGCGTCATACCTGTATTTGGCCATGTCATCCAGCTAGTTTTCTGTCTCTGTCAAGCAGCTGTCCGACAGTTACAAACTTGACATATTTGCAAGTCACTTGCGGTCCATTCAGAATGAGCACAAGACCCACTTTTGGACCAGGGAACTACTGTTAGGCTATAGATTACATTGAAGGCACAGAGGGGAATCTTCTGAGCGTATGGGTAGATTTCTGTTTCTGAAATGAGAACACTACTATACCATAAAGCTCATTTGGGTATAAAGAAAATAAAATAAACATTTTGTGGGTCCACAAAATCAGGCTTCCCATTCATTGTCTGTGGAGCAGCTCCAGACTTTATACTGTATGACATCACAAGTCTGAGACTTCTCTGGTTTCTGGCTCTGAGAGAGATAATGTTCACAAATATTGATTGAACTTTATTAGACCATAGAAATAACATATTGGAATCCTTTAGGTGGTGCTTCCCTATAAGATTTTACATGCAATATAGGCTATCTGATCATTGAATGCAGGACTGTTTATTTAACTTTTATAACAGAGTTTCTTTTTTTGTAATTGCAATAATTACCACTGGTAGTTGGTAATAGGCCGGTAAAATATGATTTCTAGCCGGTGAATCATACCTCAAGATTTTGATGTAGCCTATCATTTTATATCATTTCTATGTTACTAAATTAATACATGTCACTTTATTGGTTAAATTCCGCTCATGTAAACTGGATGAACTGAGTCTGTTTGCCTTAGACTGCATTCCTGTTTATAAGTGACCGCGGTTCAAATTAATCACTCACTCCCACTCAGCCAAGCATCAAATCCTCTCCTCTCTGTGTGGGACTTTGCTCTCAGCCTCAGCATCAACGGTGTTCTCAGTTCTCGCGATAAAAGCGAGGAAACGCGATAGTTTTGTGCTGCCAGTAAAGTTATAATCACAGCAGCAGCGCAGCGGCAGCCGCAGCAGCAACAACAACAGCAATGGCCGCTTTCCGCAGAGTGGCAGCGCTGGCCGGTAAGCTTAACCTCTGGTCAGCGGCGAGAAGCGAGTTTGTCGGCGGTCAGACGGCCAGTGGAGGGAGGGCACGGAGGTGTCTGGCCGTCGGGATGTGCCTTGCTACGGGAGGCGCCGTGGCGCTTTACTTCTACAACGATATGACGA